GAGAGCTTCTCTTTGCACATACTCAAAAGTAAAATCTGTTTGAATAATGAATAAAAAAAAATTCAAAATCAATTACAATGGCATTAGCACCTCACATTACATTTTCTCAAAATGCTCCCCATTTCCCTTTCCTCACCAAAGAAATTCACCATCACTTCAAGAAAAATATAAAGAGAATGCATATTTTAGGTCCAAACCGGAAACCAAATGACAGACAATGCTCTCCCAGCTGCTCTCTATTTTTCCTGTTCACTGATGCACATAAAATAGAATCCAGTCAGAGTTTGTCAATTAAGGTCTGGGTTGAAACACCCAGGCTGCAATGAAATATCAAATTAACAGTTAAAAGATAATCTTAACTAAATTACTGAAAATCATTTCAGTACGTTTGGGGCAAATGTGTAGTTTAAACAGTATGTTTAAGTTTATACATTTTAAGGTATACATTTCTTCTTAGGAAAAAACATGATTTCTTGTGAGCATTGTCTGAATATAACAGAAAGCCCTGATTCTGTCAACATATAATTTTCTTTTTATGTGATTACTTTTTAAAATTAATTAATCAGAAACATGACTGCAGGAGCTGGTAGTCAGAAATCTTATACAGTTCCCACCACTGAGGAAGATGATGAAAAAGACATAGTTTTTGTGTGGGTCACAGTATAACACACAAACAAACTGAAAATGAAACATAAGTTTGTTATGTTAACACTGACCAGTATCACCTTGTTGCTTCACTCTTAGGATTACAAAGAACTGGCCTTTCCTGGAGATTTCTTTATGCAATGGTCTGATACAATAGCAGTGATTTGGGATTAGAGAGGAAGTTACAAGGCAGCGATTTGGGTGAGCCATGCCTACAGAACCCCACACTCCATTTGGAGCCTTCTGCCCCAGAAGAGGAATTCCTGCAGCGGCCGCGTTCTGTTTCTATGGTTCTGCTCTTCTCCCTTTCTTACAGGAAAAAAAGACTTTTATATAGTATCCATACGCTACTTTAAACTGGAAAATATGGCTTCACTCTTCAGCACTACAAAATACACTACGCGCTGCCAAATACACTATACGTTTTATGTATTACATTCAGGTATATACAAGTAGTTTAACTTCCCCAAGATTCAGCCAGCAATGCACATGCTTCCTGGGCAAGCATGAGAACCTCGGACTTGAGCTCGTATTGGTGATGTTTCTCTGCTATAAAACCCCATACTGAAATAAACAGGGGAATCAGAAGCTAAGTTCCCATGCCTGCAGATGTATTTCCCTCTATTTTTACAACTTTTTCTTTGCTGTATTCAGTTAGTAATTATGACAAGTAGGGATATAATATTCCTACTTAAAGTTACCAAATCAGAGCACAGTAATTACCCATTTACAAAAACATTAAAATTACAGAAACTTTATTGCTACTAGCCTCAAAATAAGTGTAATGAATAGTCCAATTAACTAAGGTTACCACATAAGTATTTCTGCACTAGAGAGATCTTCATCTCTCATAGTCATTCACATTAAAACTATTGGCTTTAGGTAAGCAAATAAATAAACCACAGATGTTTTTTTAAGGACACTCATCCAAGACAGAAAGTCAACAAACATCAAAAATAACATTGATGGGAGAAGCAGAGGCAGCTATATAGCCTAGCAGACTAGAGAAGTAGCTAAAACAAGCCGAAAATTACACCACTGCCTTGCAGCATCTCCAGGAAAACCTCCAACCAACATTCCTGGCAAAAAAAACCCAAACTCAAATAAGAGTTATCATTAAAAATAATAATAAAAAAAAATTACATGAGAAAGAAATAAATATATCATTCAACCAATTCCATGTGTTCATATAAACTGGCTTTTTTATTCTTACTAACCACTGTCATTGTTTTGCCTAGATTCAGTTCATCTTTTGGATTTATAGAAAAAATAAACCAATAGTAAAAATAAAACCAGAGCAAACAGGAAGGCAGACCCTTTCTTCGTAATGCCCCAACAAAGCATTTAAATCCCTTGTGGGGGCGAACAAAGCAGACACAGACCACAACAAAATAACAAAAGACACTCATTTATTTTCAAGTTCCCTAGACAGGAGAAAGTTACCCAAAGATTTTAGAGCTGCTGAACTAGGAAGGCTGTAGATTGTACTATAGTTAGCATGTAGCAATGGCAACCACTGGCATATTTGGAAGTTGAGGGTAGAGTGCAATCATTTTCTGGAAAATTAATTAACATTTTCCAGCTAAAAAATAGGTGTTTGTGTTTTGTTTGGAGGAAGAGAGGTCAGGGTTGAGCTTATCTCCTAAACAAATACCTTCCTAAATAAGATAGGTATTTAATTTCTCCACCACATTAACTTTTCTAAAAGGAGCTTAAAATGCTCATGCAAAACTAAGCCTAGGGGAGAAAAGGAAATTTTCTAAACTAGATTAGTGGCTCCACAGTTATAGCCATTTCAGGAGGATTACAGCCAAAACTCCTTCCTGAGAAAGCCTGCTTAGATAGGGAGTCCTCAATAAAGCCGAGTTCTGGTGATAGCCATCTGGGATTCGGGATCCGTTTCAACAATGCTGCAGTAAATAAAGGTGACTTGCAACAACCCCCGGCCCGCCTGATTCCCGGGCAAACCTCTCCCATTTTCCTTCCTGCCAGGCAACCGTGCTGCAGCTCTGGGCTGTCTGGCTTTCCTTACCGCTCCGTAATTTAAATCACCTAAGCAAACCAAGTAACTTTGGGGAGGGGAGCGTTGTAATTTAATATATGATAGAAACACAAAGAAGTTATTGACTCTAAAGTCTCCGACCCCGGCGAACAGGCTCATCAATCGCATCCTTTTGCAGAAGGGGTCCTGGATTCAATAGCGGGCGGAGGGGGAGTAGGAATCACCTCCGGCGAAGTGGGGGCTGGGGTTTCTGCCTCTCCTTTGCCAGGACCTAATTCCTGAGCATCTACGGCGGTGCGCTGGGGTCAGGGACCAGGAGCATACTGGGGGGTGAAGGGGGGAGCCTGAGGCGCTGCTATTTATCACCACCCCGCCTCCCAACCCCCGTGGTTTGGTGCTGGGGGGGCGGGACGGGGCAGCCCCCCGGTGCAGCAGCCGCTCCCCCCCTTTACGGGCGCGAAATACGAAGCCAAGCGCGGAACTACACGTGGAGTAGCAGCAGCGGGGCGAGCCCGGGCCGGGCAGCCGCCCCCCCCAGCCTCCCGCAGTTACCTTTCCCGTCCATGGCATGCACGAAATCCCCGTGATAGGTTTTACTCTTTAATTTCTCTTCCAAATTGAAACTCCTGATGCTGACAATTTCCTCCACGTCCGAGAGGTCTTCATTCTCATCGTACCGCCTTCTGCCAATAGAGCGCTAGAAAACAAAAACAAAACCCACATTGTCCGGGAAAGAAAAAAAAAAATAATAAATCAATCAATCAATCTGCGTCGGTGGGGAGGAAAGCGCATGGATGGTGCGGGATGATTTCATAAACAGATTCTGGGGGAAATAATTAAGATGGTAAAACGCAAACGGAACAAAACCTGGACCCAACCAAGCTACAACACAGCTGCGTGCACAACCTTTTCCATGCCGCAACACGGAACTACACAAGAATAACAGGTGTTTGGCTGCAGGAAAACTAAAACTTGGGCTGCTGGGCAGAAGCTGGCGCTTAGGGGCGAGCAGGAGACATAATTCGCCCCAAATTCACAAGCTACAGCACCGCTGTGCTTTGCAATCCCGTAAAAAAACGTGAACGGTGGGCAATGATCGTTAGCAACTGGGTGATTTTTATTATTATTTTTGCACGTGAATACAAGATAATTCCCCGGGGAAGGGAGAAGGGCGGGGGGGTGTGTGTGTGTGAATCGTTTAATCTGATGCATGGCAGGCAGGTTTCGGTATTTACATAATCCGAGTGTTTCCATAGTCACACCGGAAGCCGCGATTTAAAAAACAGTTCGCTTTATGTAACGCCGCGATGGATGCGCAGCCCCCACCCCCCCCCCCCCCCGGTGCCCCGCACGCTGCTCCGCCGCGGCGGGAGCCTGCGCGCTTTTACAGCGCCGAAATGGGGGAGTTTGGAGGGGGGGGGTGCGGGCCAGGGGCGAGTTAAATGCTAAATACGAAGGAGCTGGGGGTGCGAGGGGGTTAGGCTCGGCTGAGGCCGGTGTCGCTCCCCCGGGGAAGTTGCGGGTGGGCGCGGAGCCGGGGCTGGAGTCGGCGGGGGCCCCGCGGCCGCGCACAAAGGTAGGTGCCCCGGTGGAGGGGATGGGGGGGTTGGTTGTTTTTTTTTGTTGTTTTTTTTTTTTTGGGGGGGGGGGACACGTCCCGATGTACAGCTGCCTCTGGCAGATCTCTTCCCTGCAAATCCGCCCCGGCAGCCAGCCCTCCACACACGCGCGGCGGATCATCACAAACCCTTACCCACAGGAGGAAAAAAAAAAAAAAAAAAAAAAAAAAAATATATATATTATCGTCCCACCCTCTCCTTCCCCTCGGTTAAATTCCACCCCCTTCCCCAGAGTCTAAGCTACTCTCTCGTAAACTAACTCGCTCTGCTGCCTACGCTTTACATGCATTTCTCCCTTTGCAAACAATTAAACAAATATCAATTAAAAGGCACAAATAGGAAATTGGCAGAAGCCAGCTACACACCAATCTTCTTCCAGAGTCTTTCTCTGCCTCCATTTTTTTGGAGAGTTTCATCACTTAATTGTCAACAGTTCCTGTCCTGCATTTTTGGCCCAAATGGGGAGGAGGAAAAACAAAAGCCATCCAGGTCTCTCTAAAGTTTTGCAATTTTGCACCAGCACTTTTTTTTTTTTTTTTTTTTTGGTGGTGGGGGGGTGGGAAGAGGAGGAGGGGGGAGGGAAGGGGAGGGGGGTGGCGGCGATGCGTTTTGCAAAGTCCTAAGGCACCATTTTCAGGCACTGCGTGTGGAGAGGGGGCGCAGGCGTCGCAGTGCCCGGAACGTAAACAGGGGGGGGGGGGGGGGGGGGAGGAGGTTTAGGGGGGATTGGGGCGGGGGGGGGCAGTGTCCGGGGGCCCCGGTGCGGTACCGGCGCTGGGCAGCTCCGGCGGCCCCGCCGCGGCCGGTCACGAGTGCGCAGCGGGCGCGGTACGCAGGCGCTGAGCGGCGGCGGGGCAGCGCGGCGCCCCGCGGAGGGAGGGAGAGGGGAGACGGGACACCCACCCCCACCACAAAAGCGCGGCCGGTTCCTGCGTGGGTGCGAGCCGCGACCCCCCGGGATGTGCCCTGGGAGTTGGGTTGTGTTTAAACGCGGGGTGGGGGGGAGAGCACCGGCTGCCCAGTCTCACGTTTTAAACCCGCGGGCAGTTTTGGAGGATTGCCGTACAAAAGAGTGGGGGGGAATGAACGGAGCAAACCCTGGAAAATAATCTTGGCGTATACGGAATTCGGATTGATTGCTGTGATCGGTTAAGCACCCTGATTGCCCGGTGCATGTGTTGCTCCCGCAGCCGGTAGCCGGCACCGCGGCCCCACCGGAGGCAAAGACCGGCTGGGGCATAAAAGCTTCCAGATCTGCACCTATATTTGTCTTGTGAGAAGGGGTTCCAATTTCTATCATGTATGTATTCAGTGCTAAATAAAGTAAAATTGCCTTTGTAATATTCATGTACAACAGGTAGTTAAAAATCACATGAAAAAGTAAGTAAAAATCATATAAAAGATGCTGATAGAAAAAAATCTCAAGTATTGGTGATACTGCAGGTTTGTAAAACTATCAAAGGGTCTAATTTCTCGAACACCAACTCACATCTACTCTGAATTGATGCTGAGCAAATATTGGGACCATCTGACTGCAATAGCAGGGTCAACGTGGAGGTTTTGAACAGCCTCCAGGTTCCAAAGTGTGGCTCCTCTCTGAAGTGACATCCTTTGCCTCCCCAAGAAAGGGAACATCAAAGTGTACCTGAACCCAGGGCCGGGGGCTGATGGCTTTGGCAGTGCTCCTCAGGTTTGGTTTCTGCAGTTTTATGAGATGGATGTTGGGAAGAAACGTGTTTCTACCTCTGGTACAGTACTTGTTCACTGTTGTCTCTCCCGGGCCAGCAAAAATTGGAAGTGCTCTGATCTAACCCACACAAATCTCAGAAATACATTTCAAACTGTTGTCTTTCCATGGCTTTAATTCTCAGATCAGTTAAACAGAGACTGAAACTTCTCTTAAAATAGGGCATTTTTCTTTACTATTGCTGTCTGCTTCTACCAACAGAAACATATTCATATAGCATCCAGCTGCACTTTGCATAGCCAATTGTGTTCTAGGTACTATATCAAACGCATTAACTATTATGCAAAAAATAAAACACATTAAAATTCAACTTTGCGGGCCTTGCCTAACATCTCTTTGGAAAGATCTGTATTTTAATGAACCCTGAGATGTGAATAAAGGCAGGGGAGGATAGAGTTCTAACTTAGGACTTAAATCATTGAGCTTCTGCATCTGCCAATAACTGTTTGCAGAATCTTGAAAAACCATGTAAGCTTTCTCTAACATCTCCCTATTTGGAGAGGATTGGACTTTATTATCATATAGAAGTGTTGTATAGGCTATATATTGAAGTGTGGATTCCAGATGTCTGTTATAGCAAGTGCATTATTAATCCATAATTCTGAAGAGATGTATGCATATGTTGACCTTTCAGCCAAGATTACTCGATCTTAAAATTAAATGCATGTGTACATCTGTAGGATTGAGGCCAGAGTACTTGTACAAAATAAATGGATGTTACTAGAGAATCATCAGACAAAAAAAACCATAATCCATCCATTCTACAAAAGTCCACCAAAAAAGACAAAACACAGACATAAAAGACAATCAACTAATTTTTCTAAGTCTTTTTTTTTTTTTGACATGAACAATTTGAGACTCTTAGTGTATCAAGCAAACCCAAAGACTGTATAATCACATGCATCTCGAAATACCACAGCATATTATTGAAGTATGGAAGTAAATATGTTTCAGAAATACAACAATTTTAATCTATAGATCTCCAAAAATAGAAAACATGTTTTTAACCTTCTTTTAAGACAGAAATGTTTATTAAACTACAATTAATTTTACCATTGAAATAACACTCTAGTCTGTGTATTAATAACAAAAAACCTGTCTCAAAAGAACTGGGGAAAAAAGGGGGGGCGGTAGGCTGTGGATGATGAGAATATCCACAGCTGCATTAGATAAGATAAAAACATTTAGATGCAATATTAAACCTGCATGCTCCAGGACACAGGTTAAGCACTGGCAGATGGGGGTCAGGGCTCGTTTTCCCTCTGAGCAGGTCATGCCACAGGTTTCCAGCGGTGCTGAGAGCTGGGTTTTGGCAGGGCTGCCGCAAGGCTGGGTTTCTTCACAGTCAAAAATAGGGGAAAAAAACCTTCAGATATCAATACTGTGAAAAGGGAGCAGTGATTATTGAGAAAGGGGCTAGTCTGAACTGTGTTAAAAAAAAAAACAAACCACTTTTTTGCTGGACGTTAATGTAACTTAAATTATTTAACATCTAATCATGACAATGTGCTGGATCCTGACACTGTTAGCTTGGAACTAGGAGCTGTCGTTAATTAAACTTGTACTGCAGGGCTCATGCTAAAATAAGAACTATAGCACTGTGCTTGGGAAGGCTGTATAAAGAAATGGGTTCATTTTGCCCCTACTGAGCTTTCATACATGGTTATTTCCCATTGGAGAGAATGGACTGAAATAATCTTAAAACATTTTTAGAAGTATATTTTATCCTGTAAGACTCACCATTCTATACATTACTCTGGGTTAAGATGGAAGTCTAGATATTTATCCATTTCATTATTTTATGAAGTTAAAAATTATACAATTTTTCTAGACATGGCAGATCAAAATCTTTGCAGAAATTCCATCAACTAAACTTTAAGCTCTACTTTAGATGAGACTGGCAGAGATGCTGGCCTTAACCTCCCTGCTGCTTGGGACTGCTGAAAAAACCTTTATTTGCCTTTTGCAACTTCACCTTCGAGTGTGTTGTTTTTAATGCCGATCTACCATAGTTGCCATTTTGTGGTAACCTGATTTGGTTTTGGTACAATAACAGGAACAAATGGAAGTGGTGATTTGCATGTGAAGCTGGAAATATGTTTTAGAAAAACTGCTATGTGAAGGGTAGCACCTTTGCATGCTCAGTACCACATCACATTAATCATATGGTACTCAGCAAACCTATTCTTATTCAGTCCTCCTACAGAAAATAGAGAAGTAAATTTTTAGCAGAAAAAAACCTATGAGTATCCTTGTGACAGTGTAGATTTCTCAGGGCTTTCTGGAAAGAAACTTGGACTTCTGCCACCTGCTCCGATTGTGTTCATGCATAAATGATCCAGAGAATGGGTTGACATTATCTCTAATTAGAGGTAATAACAGCCTGCTACTGAAAGAGCCAGTTCCCTTTCTCTTGCTTGTATGTCCCTCATTTCTCCTGCATTAGGTCTAGTGTTCATGCAGCCACAGGGTAAGTCAGTTCAGTGACCTGATCCAGCAGAAAACTCACCCATTAAGGAAAAAAAACACGGTTGGTTTTTTTTTCATTAGGTCAATTCACTGAAGCTCTGTAGCCATTTGATCGGCATAATGTACAGGATGGAGAGGAGAATGGGGTGAGATGAAGGAAGAGTGCAGGACTACACCCTTTTGGTGGCCTTCTGCAATTGCACTGATCAGAGGTACCATCAAACCACAGCTTTGAACTCCAGCATGATTTCAGAACTCCCTGAAGCATTTGTAAGAGTTAATTAAGGAAGACTGGCTCTTTTTGTTTCAGCTAACTCTAGAGTGTCAGTATAGAGGTGTGTAATAATGAGTAATTAGAGTTGGAAATAAAAGAATTTATCCTGTTTAGTTCATATTTCAGAATGGAGCTATAAAATGGAACATAAAGGGGGAAAAGAGTACACTGCTACAGTTCTAATGTTTTAGTTGCAGAAGAAAGCTTGGTCCTTAATTTATGTTTTCATATTAACAAACCGATTTTTTATTTCTGATAGAAAAGGGAATAATGTTAATTTTAAAGCTACCATGCTGGAGGGCTTGGAAGCTTAAAATTACCCGTTTTGTTTGGAAAAGTAGATGGGATGAGATTTCTTTACTGATTCAGTAGGTCCTTTTCCATACTGTTTCTTTTAATGAAATACGGACTCCACAGTACATCAGTGTGCAATATGGTTATATCTTTCAGAGCCCTTCCTGGTAAACAGGAATAGGAGTGATGGACAGAAGAGTAGAGAAATGGTGAGTTCAGAGTCTATTTTAATACAATTTTTCAGAAAGACACTTGAAATCCTTCTCAGCTCTACGTCTCTTGCAGTTTCTTTTATTTTCTCAGGGAAATCTGATTTTAGAGAACAGGTCAAGACCCGGGTATTACTTGTGCAGTAGTACTCACCCATGATGTTACAGTTCAACCATATTTTTGTGCAGAAATGAGAAAAAACAGTGAACAATCCATCTTGGTTATGTACATGTACATAAACATTTTTCATAGCTTATAAGCAACAATGTAAAATATTTTTAAATATATGATTCCACAGAAACTAAATGACAGAGACTTAAATGTTTGCTTAAGATGTGAAGGAAATTTTACATTAATCTTTTTTGATGGTTATCCTATCTTCCAAGTAAAATGTGGTAATGAAATCACAATGTGGTTGTTACTCATTGCTTTGCAGTGTGGTGCTCAGACTTAGCTTAAGGCATCAGTGGAAAACAGCATCAGAAAACGCTGATTGGGCTGATGGGGTCTTCTGAGTGTTTTTTTTAGGAATTAAAGCACATTGAACAAAACAGTAGTATTTTATAATGCTAATTTATGCCGGACTTTCACTCAAATGGATCCTATACAGTAGTACTGTCACTCATGAAAGAGAAAGAAGGTGGCAAACATTCCATGGAGTCATTTATACAACAACAAAGGCTTTTATGGAAAGACTAAGTAAAACTTACTCTTCTACAGGTGTTTTAATGCCCCTGTAGATAAAAATCTAACCAAAAATTGTTTATAAGAAGAGGACAACTCCATTTATTTCCTGAGAAAGAAATCAGATTAAATCTTTGTGTTAAGAAATTGTACTTTCAGGGAATGCCTCTGAGGACTTCAAATATTTTTTTTTTCTTGGATGCTTCAACTACACCTTTTTTTGTTGGTATGGACTGTCATCACCTTTACTGTGAATACTTAAATAAACGACCTTGCAAATCAGAAAAAGGTGTGAAGAGGAACAAAGCAAAAATGTTGAAGACAATGCCCCTTTTTCCTACTTGTAAATAAGGTGGAAAATTTCAAGGCAGTAATAGAAAGTCACGAAGGCTTTTGATTTCTAGTGGAACTAGCATTGTAATGATTCAGCTAGTATGTGATCATCCATGTGCCTGTAAATAGTAAAAGTATCCTTGTCCAGTAGTATTTCTATTGCTAAAATCGTATTTTTCTTACTAAAAATCAACAGCAAAGGGTTTGTTTCTTACACATCCCTTAATTCAGCAGACCCACAAGTCTGATGTGGAACAAGCACTGTATTGTCTCACCTTTTCAGAAATCATCTTCATAACTGTGCCATGTATTTTCTATGGAGTTCTGCTATATGCCTCATTTTCCCCTCTGTAAAACACAGAAAAAATAAATTATGGTTTAAAGAGTTTGCATGAATGTGGTAATAAAAAAAATCTTTCAACACTGGCATATACATAGCTGTTGAAATGTTCTGCTTTATCAACTTTATCAACTGCCTGCTGATAAAAAACAAGTTTATCAGGAGCTCTGGGTGTACAAAACGGTTATGAAAACCTTAACTGCATGATAAACAGTTAGGTGGATCGGTTTTAATTGGAAGCAAGGCTGGGTGCTCAAACTGGTTTAGATTCACGGGACAGATGTAGCTTAAGTATTTCAGCTTTTTAGGAGGGGAGGCTGAAGAAGGAAGTAGTTGACAAATGGCTTTGTGGTAGCGTTTTGAGGCAAGGCAGCGAAAGGTGGGGATGGAGTAGGGGGGCACCCCATCCCATCCTAGCTCAAACCGAGGAACAGAGATGTAGAAAACCGAGGAACTACCAGTTCCCGTCAACTACGCTCCAACCGGAGGCTGCTCGCCCGCCCTGCCGCCGCAGCCACCCGGAGGCCTGCAGGCGGGCCTTGCAGCGGGGATTCGCCCTCCACGGACCCGCTCCGGAGGCCGGCGGGGCCGCCGCTCCCTCAGGGGCAGAACCCGCTCATGGCAGCGAGGAGGCCGCGCCCCCCCTCAGCGCGCAGCTCCCCGCGCCCCCCCCCTCAGCTCCCCTCACCACAGCGGCGGCTTCGGCGGGAAGCGGCCTGCGGGGCACGACGCCCGCCCGCCCGCCTTCGGGCTCCCTTCGAGGGCTGCCGGGAAGCGGCCGCGGGGCCGGGCAGGGCCGGGCCGCCCAATGAGGCGGCGGCGGGGCGGTGCTGGGCGGGCGGCGGCGCGCAGGCTCCCGGCGGCAGGCGCGGCCCCAGCACCGGCAGCGGAGCCGCTCGCCGGGCGCCATGGGGTGTTAGCGCAGCTGGTGCCCTCGCTCTGCCGCCGGAAGGAGCCCCTGGGCAGCCTCCCGCTCCGCTCCCTTTCTCCGCCCGCCCCCGCCAGCCGGAGCCCATGAGCCTGAACGAGCACTCGATGCAGGCGCTGTCCTGGCGGAAGCTCTACCTGAGCCGCGCTAAGCTGAAAGCGTCCAGTCGCACCTCCGCGCTGCTCTCCGGCTTCGCCATGGTGAGCGGTCGGCCTCGCCCGGCGGGCAAGGGGCTATGGCAGGCGGCCCGCGGCCTTGCCGGCTGCGGGGAGCGGTGCCGCCGCTTCTCCTTTTTCTGAGAGGGGAACTCGCCGCTTCCCCGCGGGCGGGCGGGCGGCTGCAGCGGGGCCGAGGGAAGGGACGGGGATGAGCGCAGCCCGCTGAGGCGGCGGGTGGCACCCCGGGGCGGGCCCTGGCGCCTCTGCCCTGAGAGCCCGGCCCGACCCGGCCTCAAACCCTCCGGGCAGCCGGGGCCAGGGCGGCTGGGCCGGAGAAAGAGGAGGAGGAGGAGGCGCGGGGACCGCGTGGGGTGCAGCGAGGCCGGGTGGGGTGCTCCGGGTGGGCTCTCATCGGTAGCTCGTTTTCTGCGGAGAGCTGTCGCGCCGCGAGTTAGAATCTGCCTCGCGGCTTTTATCTCCTCTCAGTAGGTCCGATACCTCGTGTAGAATTTTTTTGCTCGCTGCTTGTTTTTCCTGTGGAGGATGCTCTGCATGCTAAAAATCGCCCTTGGCGGGACGCTCCTCCTGCTTGCTCTCATAGGAAACACCGTACGGTGCTGTAAATGTGGAGGTTAACGTGTATTTTTTTCGCTGTTTCGCTTCGTGGTCTGGTGGCAACAGCAAAGCCGGCTGTGCACAGAAAGTCCCGCAGCTCTTCCAAGGTTCGATACTTTGTACTCCCACTCTGCTTCCCGTACCACAACCGCACACGTTGTGCAAACGCATGCGAGGGCAGGTGTTGCACTGGAGCTATTTTCAGATAAATTAGGAAAAATAACTGATTAAAGTTGATGGTGTCCCTCCGACTCATTGCATCCATCATTAGTCATTTGCGGTTGCGATGGTTTTTTTAAAGGAAATCTTGGGTGTTGCTTTGTTTGGAGTTTTGTGTGTTTTAGAAAACGTGTTTTTTGCTAGTATGTTTTTTGCTTCTCGCGTTTGATATAGAAACGTAGTCTAGTAATCATAATCGTCTCAAATGAAAGCTCCATATAGTTTGAAATGTGGTAACTTAAAGGCTTCATATGTCCACTCCTCTGACACACTGAGCTGCTAACTCTGCAGCCAGCCCCTTTATTCATATGTGTTAAAAATGCTTTGTACGGATTGTACGGCTCTGACTTGCTTTGTTTTATTTTTTGCCCCACTTTTAACAAGGTATTTTCAAACATAAGATACATTCCCCTTAAGAGCCATTGCTCTAATTAGAGGATGCTGTTTGAAAACGTAGCAGCCGGTCTGCAGCAGCCATCTGACGGTCAAATAAATGTCACTGTCCTCCTTCAGTGGCTAAAAACAGATGACAACTCTTCAGGGGTGGTGGTAGACTGCTATTCGTTTGACTGACAGGCAACTGTGTTGGTGCAGCAGCATATTTGAGTTGGTTCTCCTTGGGTAACATGCATCAGGACTGTAGCTCAGCACTGCTGCTAATGAGTTTTTCGTATTGTACACTCGTCAGGGTGGTTTCTTCAGGCTTTTACGCTGAGAGAGAGAACATGGAAAAAAGCTGTAGTTAGTTGATTTTTATAAATTTTCATCTGGGAGAGGTTATATCTCCATTAGTAAAAATACTATTATTTAACAGTCATATTTAAATCTCTTAAATCCCTTTGGCTTTCTTCTAAATATATGCAGTGTGGATTCTCAAAATCCCATGGGTGTACGAGGTGAGATGTCTTCTTTCTTGATTCTCTGGAAGAGTCCTAGGAGTTGAGTGTCAGACATTTTAAAACTGCTGCTTTTGAATTTATTGTTTAGGGTATTTCAGGAAAAAGCCAATTTGTTCTAATCTCTAGTTGCCAGGAATGTTACATGTGAACATTCATCATATTTTAATTTTATGGAAATTGCCCCCCAAAAAATTCCACTTTTTTTCCCTTCCTATAACAAGGTCATGCAGGAAATCACCTTGTAGCCTCATTGGTTTTGCTATGGCAGATAGTCTTCTGAGACTTCCTAATTTATTTTCAGAAAAGCTGACTTAACTTTCAAGTATTTTTAGATTTCTTTTGAATAACTTTGCTTATCTTTTGAAGTTGCCCTTCTGCCTTGAAAAGCAGAGCCCTTTCTGCTGTCACGCCTGTGCATTGTTTACTAAATTCAGCAGATTTTTTGGCACCTGATACTTGAATAAAATGCTGCTAAAATACAATCTAGTCTTGGATCTAAAGCTACAACAGCAATTAAGTGTCATTGTTCCTCTGTTTTCCCTAGGGACACAAGGAAGAAAGAACCTAAATGACACATCCAGGACCACCCAGCAAAGTGATGGGAATTGTCAGGAGCAGAATGTGCTCATTTCCATGCCAGCCCCATTGATTCTTGCTCTTTAATTAAACAGTACTTGCATCCTCCAGTATGAGCTAAATTTATCCCCACTAACCTGTTCCTTTATTTTGGACTAATTTTGCCTGTAACTGCAGCCATTTTGCAAAGTTTATTCCCTCCAGATTGGTTACACATACCACAGTTAAAAGATGCATGCCAAAGTCT